TCAAGAGCTTATTAGACATGGTTTAAAACCTCTTTGATTCAGCATAAATGTCTCTATTTGGCATTTCTTGAATGCAACACCCAAGTAATCTAACAACTTTCCTAGGTTACAACTTCTTTCATAAAAAGGCGGGAGCCCGACCCAACCCATATTTATACTGCTCCGTAACCCTAATTTAGAACTATAAACCCTAGGCAGACCAGAGACTATAAATATCTCAATCCAGCAACTGCTAGTGACCTTGAACTTTCTCTCCTCTTATCGCCGACTAAATCATACGGTACACAAGCTTCTCTTGTAATTTCAATTTCCGTTTAGTTTCTCCGATCTTGATTCAGTGCACTGTTGCTGAGATTTTCCGATTATGCTTGCTTTTGCCCATTTAATTTTCGTTTTTTTGTTCTCTGATCTGTGTTGATCATAGTGTTGCTTGCTTAATTCTAATTGTCTGTAGTTTATAATCTAGAGAGGTACACATCTGTGTATTGTTCTGGTTTTTGATCGAACCCTCTGATCTGCTCTTTTGCTGGAAACCATAATCTGTTTTTTGGTGAGAAACACTCAAAATGAGCTTGAGATTTGGCTCATCATTGTAATGATGCCATAAGCCTTTGATCGGGGAACATTTCGTATATTATTTCCAGAATTCATGAGAGTTTCTTTTGTATCTTAGTTTCTCTGCAACTACTGTTCTTGTTCAAAGCTGATTTGTTTGCTTCTCTTAAACTATTATAGGGCTTTTGTCTATTGGTCAAAATCTGTAATCTTGGTAATACTTTTGGTTTCATTATTCTCAAGTATTGGTTTTGTTTGCTCTCTCTTATAAGTCAGGCATAATTTTACATTTTTGTGTTTTTGGTTAATGTTAATTGGACTTGCATCATCACCCTTACAACAAGCGGAATTTGTCACACTTTTGGTTTTTTGGTGATTGGTTGATTAGTGTATGACGTATGGTTGGATTGGATTTTGTCTTGTTTTTGTAAAATCATCCTCTCTTTTTTCAGTGCTTTTGTAAAATCATTTGAATTCTTGTTTGTGTTGATCATAGTTGAGAGTATGTCTCATAGAAAGTTTGAGCATCCAATACATGGTTCCTTGGGTTTTCTTCCAAGGAAAAGGGCTAATCGACATCGTGGAAAAGGTAAATTATAAGCATTCCTATTCACCATTTTCTTGCAG